CCCAGCTTACAAGACTTCAGAGGCCGCCTTACAAGCAGAAAGGAATCCAGAGAAGTATCATACACATTTTGCTATGAACTTCAAGAAATTCCGTTTTTCTGCAAGGATTGTGTGGTATTTGATTGACCGTGACAGGAATCATTTAGAGAGTTTTCTTCACAACTCCAACAGTAGATTTGTGCAACATGCATGCTATCAACTTCGTGAGTATGTTCAGGCGCGTGTTGCAGTTTCTGATCCCTTGTATGAGATGATCAAGAAGGAAGAGTTTGAACGCCAATACAATTCCAAGTTTTTGGAGGCGATTTCTTGCTCTCGTGTTGTAGTTGAGCCTGTAAGTTCAGGGACGTATGAGCCATCATCGAAGCTGAACTTAAAGGTACTACAAGACATCCTGAAGGGTATCTTCAAGATCCAGAAGGATGAGGAGCTTGCCAAGGAACGTGATGAAGAAGAAGAACAGGCAGCTCAAAACATCTCATACCTGTTGGCAGATGATATGGAGCTTGATTTTGATGATGATGATGTTCCAGTATGGCGCTCCATTGTCGACAAGTATAGAGGAGGTGATCAGGTGCTACAGGGAGAAGCTGTGAAGATTACTCACCTGTTCAGGGATCAAAAGGACAATGAGAAGGCGACAGAAGCTTTCAGTTCAGAGAGGACAGATTTTTATGAGACCTCAGGACCTCTTCCAAGAACCGAGGGAGAAAATCTTGTAGAGGACTTGCTCACCAAGGATGTTGCAGAACAAGCTTTTGAAGCAGGTGAAGAAGTTCCTCCTTATACAAGAGTCTCCACTATCACTGGTGAAGTCTATACTGGAAGTAGAACACTTCTAGAAGATGAGAATATGGAAGAGGAAGTTCCTGAAGAAGATCCCGCAGTTGAACCTGGAAAGGAAGAAGAAATATTTGATGAAGATGCAGGTGTTTTTCCTTCAGAGGAACCAAAGATGGAAGTGGACCAGGAGGAAGCCAAGGAAGAGTCAACACCACACTTTCTGTCAAGAGAGATAGGTGAGGACTCGACTGCGTCGCACTTACCATCAGGTGAGATGGATGCTAACCTTGATGATACTTCAGGTCAGCGGAAATCTAAGAAAAGCCGCCTGAATAAGATTCCTGATCTCATTTTCATGAAGAAGTTCAGGATGATGCAACCATGGTAGAGAAGAAAGAGGCGGTGGAGAAAATAAAAGAGGTCAGAGAGGATGATGGAGAGAAGAAATTGGAGGCTGAAATCCAAGAATCTTTTCCATCTGAAGTAGTTGTTGAAAAGGATACAACAAAAGTTGACAATACCTATGAGTTGCACACTTCACCTTTAAAGTTGCTTGGAGAGCTTACAGGAGATCCAGGTATTGGCTTTTATCAACTATGCTTCAGGGAAACTCATGCAAGATTGCTGAATCATGTTTGTTTCAGAAAAGGTGAGATTTCCCATCCTCATTATCAGTCAAGGATCAACGAGAATGATTTTGTTCGATCCATTCGCAATATCTGTCCAGTACCTCCACCTGATTGTTATGAACATGAACCAGAGCATGATTTGAAGAGATTCTTCATCAATGATGACCGCATCATTTATTTGGATGGCAGGTATCAGGTCGATCCAAAGGCCCTTGAAAGGGCAGGTCATGCTCGAGAAGAATTGGAGGATACGAAAAAGGAACCCAAGAAGGAACTGGAATCATATGGTCCCAAGGGACCCAGTTGGGACTTTGTCACCTTCTATGAAGAGCTGTGCAGAAGGTTCCTCAAGGGAAGAATAGAAGAACCATATGGAACTAATTTATTGGCCAGCTCAGAGTCCTTGACATTTTTATCCTGGAACTATGGCAACATGGTTCGTGGTCAGAAGTACACCACACCAAGGTTTCTCCAAGGACTTGATAGTGCAATGAGGCCACGCAAACAGAGCGCCATGTCACTTCAGAATGAGCAATTTGAGAACAACCTTTTCTTCAACATGCTCTTCTTTTTACGTGCACATGTCGTGATTCTCCAGGAAGCTCATCTTCTTGTTCCTGCCAAGGAATTTATTGAGCAAAAGAATTGGACAGTTTGTTTCAATGATTGGGAGAATCTTGCAGTGATGGCTAGATTGGCACCAGGTGGATATGTCAAGATCATTGCTGGACATGACCAAGATCTTGGTCACTGTGAACAGCGTGATGTAACTTGGGCTATCTACGAGATTTGTTTTGGAGAAACAAGGCCTCGTCAAGATTTCAAGGATGCAGACTTTGAATTTGATGACTATGGTCCTGAGGACAAGCGTGTTCCACTTACTCGAGCGAACATGCATACCATCAGAGTCTGTAATTATCATGTTGATACACACCGTGCTGTGGATGCCCACCTACTGACAGGAGAACAGACAGCATTGATGCTTTACGAGTGTTTTGTCTATGAGGTGGACATCATTTCTGGTGATGCAAATAGTTTGGCCTACAGAATGTCTGGGTACAAAAGGCAGCCAATGGCTAACTACTATTACAGCACCATGCAGCATTGGATCCGCAGGTTTTCAGAAGCTCGTGTCAAAGCAGATCCTGGTATCAAAGCACCTATTCCCAGAACATTTTACAGTTCTACTTCACAGGTCCTCAAGAAGTGTGAAGTTTACTTTGATAAACTCTGGGAAGAATACTCTACTGTTGAAAAAGAAGAATACCAAGGATCACAGCTTGGCGATACATGTTTGTCTACCATTGTTGAATGGGGTCATTCAATGAGTGAAGAGGAATATGAAAATTCCACAGTGAGCACGAAGGAGTTCATCTGTAATTTTTCAGAGAACTTTGCTATGATTGACACAGAGGTTATGTGCTCAAGGCCCACTGACGAGGACAGTCATGGTCCAATGTTTATTTCACTCAGACCAGCTTCCTTTTCATCTGGAGACAGAAGACAGTATCGCATGGGAGCAACGCTTCATGAGGCGAACTTGCGGAGGAAGGAGAGACAAAAGCAGAATAAAAGGAAAGGAAGGCCGCCAACTTCTGATCAAGCAACTTCATCGTTTGCAGCGGCATAATTCCTGAGCGAAGGCTGAAATTTAAATGATGGCTAGGAAGTGAAGATACTTCTGGTTACAGTTGATACTTTGCTTCCAGGCTTGACTTTAAGTTGCCAGGCTGAAGTTTTAATAAATTCTGGTTTGCAATGAGGAGAAACTTTTTATCAAAGAAGATACTCCTGCATTCCGATTTATATGCTTTAGCATGTAGATAGGTATGGACAGTTTTACAGAACTGATGATATCTATCACCACCGCTCTTATGAAGTGACCTCTAATGGACAACCAGTCATGGTTGATGATTAAGTCATTTCATGATTTGCAATTGTAGTGCAAGCTTTTTGTACATACATTTGCCGGTATCTCCTTCTTGTGTTTTTGATGTGAATGTGAAAGAGAGTCCTTTTGATGCAGTTTATTTTGTCTGTGAATGAAAGCGGTCGAGACCACGTCACGAGAAGATTATTCCTCGGACCGTACGCTCCTTGCATTTTGCAAGGCATTTTAATTAATTGCATTTGCGCGGTCTTGAATTTTTGGTTCTTTGTTACGCGAGTGTCGTTTGATTCTTTTATAGGTCTCTGTAGAGAAAAAGCCGCTTTCCCTTTTAGTTTGATTTAGCTCAGGCCATAAAGAGCTAGTGAGCGCCGGTACATGGTATCTCCGCCTGCGAAAAGTACAGTCTCCAGCCGAGGTACATTATCGATTTGATTTTGTACTTGAGGTGAGTCAGCTATTGCTCCCTCACTGTATTTAGTAGCTATGAGATTACCTTCTCTGAAGTGTGAAACACACTGGATTAGGTAAGTACATGGCACCGTAGTTTTCTTTTAAGTTGTCAGAGCTAGCTGGACTGATTTAGCCTTGCAGTAGAAAAAGAGTATGCGACATACGCAATCAGCTAGAAGTGGACATGAATCTTGTGCCTGCTGAAAAGTAGAGCCTACCTGTACAGGGTTCCACTCCAACAGCTGATATAGTGTGTCCATGCTTGACTGCTTCAAGGCTCAAAGAGCAAGAGGATAAGACTCTGCGCATAAAAGACACTAGCGGTCTGCACCTCTACCGTGTACGCCCTAGTCACTCTTTCACCCCTCCCCCCCCTCC